TGCTGGAGAAGGATATCATGTTTGGTAAGATGGAGGGTCAGAGAAAAAGAGGAAGACCCCCATCGAGATGGATAGGCCAAGTGGCAGCATCGATGGACTCTAGTGTGGCAACAGTAGTGAGGTTGGCCCAGGATCAGGCAGTGTTTCGTTCTGCTGTGCATACGGTTACTATGAGTCGGTACCGACTCGACTCGATGGCACCTAAGAACAACATGGGTCGAAACCGACTTGACAGCACATAATAACAACAATGGCTAATGATCATGAACATTTCTTCATATGTTTGTTGGCTGCCTTAATGTCTCTCTTTTTTAAAAAACAAACAAAAGACAATTAATACTTATTGCTTGTTGACAGTATGCTAAACACTGTGTTAGGCAGCTCACAGGGACTCTAAAGAGGAATCATTCTTGGTCCCAGCCCTGGAGAACTGGGGTCTTAGGAGAGAAGTAGATAACATAAAATGTTTTAATAGTGTTATCTATACGTGCCAGGGAACTTGGTTGTAAGTTCTGTCAAGAATCATCAGGAAGAGGCAAATTGTTAGCCATGTGCACTTGAACAAATGACTAAAATCAATTGCCATCAAGCTGATTCTGTCTCATGGTGACCCCATATGTGTCAGAGAACTCTGCTTCATAGTTTTGTTTTGTTTTAAGATTTTATTTATATTGTTAAGATTATATATGACAAGGACTCCTGGTGTGGCACTGTAGGATCAGCACTGAACTGCAAACCATAAAGTCGGCAGTTTAAACCCACCAGCTGCTCCTTGGAAACCCCATACAGGGTCACTACGATGGCACTTAACAACAACAAAAACAATACATGACAAAACACATACACCCGTTCAACAGTTTCAACATGTACAATTTCATGGCATTGATAACATTCTTTAAGCTGTGCAACCATTTTTACCATCCTTTTCTGAATTGCTCTTCCATCATTAACATAAACTCACTGCTCCTTTCTAATATTTCAAATGACTGTTATCAATTTGATCCCATAAATGAGATCATTTGAAGATAATTCTTAAAAGAGCAGATCTTTCTATTTTGGTTTAAGTGTTAAAAGGTTAGCTTACAGCATGAGTTTCAGGGGTTCATCCATCCTCCATGACTCCAGTTCATGATCATTTCAAATTCTCCTGCATTTTCCCCCTTTTGATCAAGGTTCTTCAGCTGAGTACCATCCAGTTCTTCTGATTTCATAACAAAGAAGGCAGTTGTTCACGGATGCAATTAGCCACACATTCCATATTCTCCTACCATTCCTGACACTTCTTCCTCTGTTGTTCCAGGTGAATCTCTATTATTGTGCCTTGGATGGCTGCTTGTAAGCTTTTAAGACCCTGGGTACTATACAGCAAAGTAGGAGGTAGAACAGGATTACTAAATGCATTATTAGGCTAATTAATTGGGATGATCCATGAAACCATGACTCTAAACCTTCACACCAAGGAACCAAACCTCATGAGGTTTTTGGTTGTATAAAGCAACCCTAGCATCTGCTCTTATTTTTGTCATTTTTGTAAGTACATCTGTCACAAAACTTTTAGCACTTCAACTTTTTACAGATGTATAACTTATTGACAGCAATTAAAATGATTGTATCACCCAGGGAAAGATGATAGAGTGTCTTGAGCATCCGTGTTTCTTACAACACCATTGTCTTCTTCCTGTGTTCAAAGGAAGTTCTAGTTCAAATCGAGAGTGTGGTCTCTCAGGTTTCAGCAAGGTCACATCTTTAGTTGTAGACACAAAGTATTTACCTTGAACTCTTGAACTTGCTTTGAATCATGCTGAACTGCTAAAGTGCTGAGCTCATGGAGCATCACAAACACTCTGTGTAAACAGGATGACATATTGTGCATCTCTCCTCTCCTCACACTTAGGCTTTATAGACCTATAGGACTTCACTTAGAAAACCAAGTTCAAAGATAAAAGTATTATGAATTTCAAGACAGCAAAGCATGAAGTCAAACACATGGCCATTCTGAGCACTGGGCCCTGTTAGCTGCACAGGTCACCCATAAAGCTAAGAGAGAGAGAGAGTTTGAGAACTAGGTTGATAATCTAGATGGGAACTATTTTTTTGGTAGCTTTTTATTCTGAATTGAGTGAAGGTTAACAGATAAGATCATCAGCTTTGCATTCAACAAATTATAAGCTTTGTTTCATCTCAATGATTACAATCCCCTCCCTGCAACAACATTTATCCTACTTCCTCCCTGTGGCTTCCCTTTGACATCTTATATTTCACAAATGAACAAAGCAAAAATATTTGATGTATGTACACAAAACAAAAAATATATATTCATTTAAATGTCTAAAGGGCACATTCTGCAAACCAGCCTCCTGCCTGCAGGCACCCAGTCTTACCCAAGGGCCCGCAGATGTTCTCTCTTTCCATGCCACCTCCTCTGCCACTGTCTCTGCTGTGGCTGCTCTTCTACATAGGATCTCATGCTCTTCCTTCCTGATGATTCTGGGATCCACTGTTCCTGAAATGAAAGATTAACTCCCCTCCTTTTAGTTATAGATCTTCTACAATTACAGTTGTGACAATCACAATGAATCCTGCTAACAATCATGCACAATTGAATTATAAAGTCCTGTCACCATCATCCCTCATCTCTTTTCACCAGACCCGTCTGGAAAAGCGGAAAACCATTCAGTGGAGATTCTACCTTACCCCTCTCATTCTAAAACTAAGCACTCATTAAATCTTGTAAGCCAGTGACTTCATGCCTTTATAGCCCTCCATTTTTTATAGCCAGTGTCTAAATTGCCCATCCCTATCAACCCAGTGCATTGAGGAAACAATCTTGTTCCTTGATATGAAGAATCCTTCCATTCCGGTTGGTATTTTGAGCATCTAAATTCATAAGCAAAGATCCAGTTCATCAAATTAGAGCAATTTACACTTGCTCACAGTTAGATGTGAATGATGATGGAAACTTGTTCTTGTTGTTAAGTGCTGTAGAGTCTGTGCTGACTCATACAAGACCCCCTATAGGGTTTCTGAGGCTTCTAAAAAATCTTTGCAGAAGCAGAAAGCCTAAGTTTTCTCCCACAGAACTGAGACTAAGAGCAAGGATTTATGATGAGAGTTGAAAGACGAAATGCCTCTCTAAGGAATAGTGACAAGATTGAAGAGAGATAAAAATAGTTAATAATTCTTAACCCATGCATTTAGACTCTTCTACCCCCAACTATTCTGCCAGAAGAACAAACATATCTGTACTGGAAGAAATACAACCAGAATGTTCCTTAGAAGCCAGGATGGCAAGACTTTGTCTCTCATACTTCAGACATGTTATCAGAAGTCTCTGAAGAAGGACATCATGTTTGGTAAAGTGGAAGGTGAACAAAAAAAGAGAAAGACTCCCAACGAGATGGATTGGCACATTGGCAGCAGCAACTGGTTCAAACACAATTGTGAGGATCACAATGCAGAATCAAGTGTTTAGAGTTGCTACCAGTCGAAATCAACTCAACGCCTCCTAACAACTAGATGGTGAGTCTCTTGAACCCTGTGAGAGCTCTGACCTCTATCTCATTTAGCACAGCATATGGTCCATAGTATTGTTTGTAGACCCAAATGGACACACGGATAGAGGAATTCAGACATGGGGGGTGTGGGGATAGTAGGCAACACATCCAAGTACACCTGGCTGCAGGGTCAGGATATCAGGGAAATGCTGGCACTGGGGTGGGTTGTGGTGGTGTGAGGACTTTATTTACCAAGAGAGGCTTGGGAAGTTTGGTGCCAGGATGAGAGAAGATGGGAAATCATCTGTGCAGCACTGTGGAGAGGACCAGGTGGTGAGGAGAAGGTGCTCTGGGACTGGAGAAGGTGGTGTTGGGAGGACTTGTAACAACAGTTCCACGACAGGAACTTTCCTATTGTGGTCCTGTCCTTCAGGGATTCCTCTCTGGATGCCGCGCTAGTTTCAGTCTCCTGCATTCCCACTGACTCTCTTGGCTCCCAGTCTGTTTTAGTCTTTGGCTCTTCCCTATTCCTCTCAGGTTGCCCCACCTGTCTTCCAGACTTTCTTTGTAGCTGTATCTTCGTTTTCTTCCTAATTCCCTGCTTGGGGCCCCCCACTTGTGAGCATATACGCTTTCCTTTGGATTTCTGAGTCTTTCTGGGGGTTATCTTTCCCTCAACTCCGCTTGGACACATCCTTTACCCCCTTCCCTCCTCCTGATACAGTCCAGTACCTGGTCGGGTAGAGACCGCCTTGTCCTGAAGAGACGACAGAGGGCGGATCCAATCCTTCACTCCATATCTGCATATGTATGAGGTCGCCTAGGCCAGCCACTAGGAGGCGGAGCTTCTGGGGGAGGGAAGGGGGCGGGCACCCCAGAGCCGATGAGTATAAAGACCGCGGGCCCCGGCTGCTAGCCCTGCACTGCTGAGGAGCAGAGCCTCCGCTTGGGGGAACCCCCATCTTGGCTGTCCCCCAACTGCGCGTCCCCACCCCATCCCCGCGGCCGAGCTGGTGTGGCGGTCCCGGCTCGGCGGAGGAGCCTGAGCAGTGACTGGCCCCACTCCACCGCCTCATTGCATCTTGGATTTCGGGACGACCCCTCCCCCACCTCTCCCCACTTATTTGCACCCCGCTTTTTTTTTTGCATTTCGCTTGGGTTTTGTAGCCGTCTATTTTCGCACCTCTTCACGTTTTGCTTCTAGACGGTTTGGGGGTGAAGCTGCATTTGCACCCCTGCCTGTTTTAATCCTCTCCTCTGACAGCCCCCCTTTTCATTGCAGTCGGGGGGCCTAGGATCGGTGCATCCTCCGCGGTGCTGCTAGCACCCTGCAGCGCGTGGCTGTGCACCTCGGAATTTGCAGCAGCTGCATATCTGAGGGGGGTCTCCTTTGCCCCTCCGTTTTTGCTCTGCGCGCGTTCTGGTGCGTGGGGGGCTTCCGCAAGTGGCGCTCCCGCTTCACCGCAGCCTCCCTCCCTGCGCTGGGACTCGCCCCACGCTGCTAACATGGTCATCCGGAAAGAGAAGAAGAGCTGCGGGCAGGTGGTTGAGGAGTGGAAGGAGTTCGTGTGGAACCCGAGGACGCACCAGTTTATGGGCCGCACCGGGACCAGCTGGGGTACGCCAGGAGGACGTGCGAGGGTCGGGGGACGCCGAGCCACGCCTCATGGGTATAGGGCTTGACGGACGCAACCCCAGCGCCTCTCAGGGTTCCGGAGTCCTGCCCCCCTGCTCGGCTCTGGGTTGGGAGGGGGCCGATCACTAGTCTAATCTCTCCGGCTGGCCGCTGCGGAGGCGGAGAAAGTAGGTCACTGCCGCCTTCCCGCCCCCTGCCGAGCCCCCTCCGGCGGGGGGTCGCAGGATCTGTGCGCTGGTCCGCGCCGCGGCGCTCGCGCTATCTCTCGGGATCTGGTCGCTTCGCACTGTAGTGCTTTCTCTGAGAGCGCCCCTTCCCTCCCCCGTCTCTCCCTTGCTAGCCAATTCCGTCTATTTTTAGAAGGTGCCCACCCCCTAGACCCTGGGAACATTCACGAAGGGGCGGGTCTTGGAGAGGTGGGGGTGGGTGGGAGGGATGCTGCTGGAGGGGTTCTTGGTTACAGTTGTCTATACCACTGCTGAGTCTTGGGAGCCCTCTATGGCTGCTTTGTGGGTTGGGGGGCTGGTGGGGAGGTAGGAAACTGGTGGGGAGGTGTGCGAGGCTAGATGTTTCGTTTATGTCTATGGCAGAGGGAGGAGTGGTCACGGGTGGTGAGATGTGCACATCATCTGGCGGGTGTGTCTGTAGAGTTGGAGTGGATCCTGGCTCCTGGCTCCAGACGTTCCCCATCCTATGTCGAGGCGCGCTACTCAGGGCATGTGAAACGAGTTGTGTGTGGTCTGGGGTCTGGGGATGGGTAGGAATGCAGGGAAGGGTGGAAGTCTTCCAAAAGAGCTTGTTAAACTAGTAAATCTAAGCATAAGGGATACAGTGTGACACAAGTTACAATTCATTCGAACTGTTCCCATTAATCCAACACTGTTCCCATTAATCCACCTGCCTATGAACCCATAAGGCATGTCCAATAAAGTTCTTGCCCTTAGTCCACCCGTGAGATCTGAGGAGATTGCTTGGAAGAATCTGAGGAGGCTTCCTGGAGGAAGTGTCTTTCGAGATGCAAGGAATGGGGGCCTGAGTTGCACAGCAGTTGAAAACAGCAGGCACTTCCTCTAGGCTGAGTGATGGGGTGACAGAGGCAAACATGCATCCATGAGGACCTAACCAGGTCTGGGAAGGCCTTTGGGAGATTCCACAGCCTTTCCTGCCTCTACACTGTGTGTTGTGTGTGTGTGAATTGGGGTGTGACTATTGAAGATACTAGACAGCAGTTGCTGAGGTTTTGTAGCTAGGCTAGAATCTTGTTCTCATGAAATGCCATTGAGTTCGTCCTATATAGAGTTTCCAAGGGGTGGCTGGTGGGTTTAAAGTGCCAACCTCATGGTTAGCAGTCAAGTGCTTTTTTATCCTACAGTGCCACAACTGGAGTGTAGGGTTCTTCATTTCAGAAGCTGTGTTCAATGTTTGTTTTCTGTGGGGACCAGAAGAGAGAAAATTTTGCTATCTGAGTGTGGGATCCAAATCCATGCTGTGAGGGTTCAGGTTCTGAAGGGTGGTATTAAAAGCTTGATTGTGAATGGTGACCAGTGCCATTATAAAAATTCATTGGGATAGGATCATTTTAAGCTTGAGTACCAAGGTAGTGGTAACAGATGTTGTGACTATTTCAGGGCTACAGATGGTTGAGAAATTGGGAATGTGATTTGAGGCAAAATTATTTCAGCCTATACTTAGTGTTGTTCCAGCAATGAGCGTTTAGGTCTCTTGTGGCTACCATATGGTGGAGCTTCACTGTGCCCTAGGACCAGGAGGGGGCTGGGAGTTGTGGCTGGAGTCCAGACATGCCTCTGTTTCTAGCTTGTCGCATTTTGCTCCCAGGAGAGAGCTTTAAGAAGTCCCGGTGGACATCCCAGAGCAGAATTTCTAAGTGGGTAGAAGGGTAGGTGGGGGTAGGTAAGATCATGGTGGGAGACGTGGTACCTATTGACCCTGTTTCCTTCACCCTAGCCTTTATCCTCCTCTTCTACTTCATCTTCTATGGCTTCCTCACGGCCATGTTCACCCTCACCATGTGGGTGATGTTGCAGACGGTTTCTGACCATACTCCCAAGTATCAAGACCGACTGGCCACACCAGGTGAGTGAGGAGATGCCCCCTACCAGCCACATTAACCACTGTCCTGCCCCCTTACCTACCCCAAAAAAAACCTCCAAAAGGAACTCACAGGAAGGAAGGTGTGCAGTTCTGATGATCCAGTCTCCCTAAACTGGGACGTTCTTGAAGTTTTCCTTCGTTTGATTGCCTAGAGCTGAAAGCTGTCTTCTGGGGAGATGGTAGTTGTTCACAGAAATCACCATCTATGAAAAATTTCACCCTGTGCCCACCTTCTCTTCTCTGTGTGGTTCCTCATTTCACATATACCCTCCACGTCCCTGTCCTTGTTTAGGCTTGATGATTCGCCCCAAGACTGAGAACCTTGATGTCATCGTCAATGTCAGTGACACTGAAAGCTGGGACCAACATGTTCAGAAACTCAACAAGTTCTTAGAGGGTGAGTGTGGGGTTGGCTATGTAACTGTTCACGTTCTTGAGCAGGGAGTTGGGGACCCTGGAGGCAGGACATCAGGCCTAAAACTCTCTCTATTTCCCACTCCTGTAGCTTACGACGACTCCGTCCAAGCTCAAAAGAATGATATCTGCCGCCCTGGACGCTATTATGAACAGCCTGATAACGGAGTCCTCAACTACCCAAAACGTGCCTGCCAATTCAACCGGACCCAGCTGGGTGACTGCTCTGGGATTGGAGACCCTACTCATTATGGTTACAGCACTGGACAGCCCTGTGTCTTCATCAAGATGAACCGGGTACTCATGACCTTCATCCTCTGGGAGAGTAGAGGAGGGGACTGGAGTCAAGAGCTCTGCTAACAGTTGCTTCATTTCACTGGGGCCAATAAAGAGCCCAGAGTCTTGGTGTGGCGCTGTGGCCTAATGTGCTGGACTGCAAAGTCAGATTGATCTGCAAGGTTGATGGTTCAAGTTCACCAGCCACTCCTTGGAAACCCTATACAGGGTTGTTATGGGCCGAACTGACTTGACAGCAATTAACAACAACAATAAGGGGTCCTGATAGTGTACTGGTTACGTGCTTGGCTGCTAACCAAAAAGTCAGTAGTTCCAACACACCAGCTGCTCTGTAGGAGAAAGATCGAGCATTCTGCTCCTGCAAGGATTTATAGCCTTGGAAATACTTACAGGCCGTTTTAGTCTGTCCCTTAAGACTGTCAGAATTGACTCGATGGCAACAGGCTTTTTTTTTTTTTAAACCAATTAAGTAGTTCCTGGGTGGTGCAAATCATGAATGCTCTTGACTACTAACTGAAAGGTTAGAGGTTCAAATCCCTCCAGAGTTGCCCTCAGAATAAAAGCCCCTGGTGATCTATTGCCCTCCAAAATCAACCATTGAAAACCCTATGAAACATAGTTTTGCTCTAATGCATATGGGGTTATCATGAGATAACATTAACTTAAAGGCAACAGATTAGTTAATGAGGATTAGAGAAATTTTTCTGTTTGAGTAGCTGAGAAAACAAGAGAGGTGGAGTCCTTGAAGGGTGAGATCTGTACTAGAAGACCAGATAGCTGTGTTTTGGACAACTTTGCATCACCTTCTCTCTTCACTCCAGGTCATCAACTTCTACGCAGGAGCAAACCAGAGCATGAATGTTACCTGTGCAGGGAAGGTGAGTTTGGTGGCCTTGTCCATCTGTCCCCCTACTTGGCCTTCATTATTTCCATGTAATTCACTCATCTTTCCCTATCTTCATTGCTCCCAGAGGCTCAGTCACTCACTATAGGGACAAGGGAGTAAGAGTGGTCGTCCATAAAACTTGGACTCCAGTGTGCTCCCACTGTTCTTGCTTCTCTCTAGGATGCAGAAGCCTGCTCTGATGTGTATAGAGATTCCCTCTTCCCTCCTCTGCCAAAGCCCTGGCCTCTGTCTTCTCTCCCTAACCCTTTCACCTCCTCCTTTATTCCCTGGTTATCCATTTCTTCTGTTCTCCCTTCCATATCTCGTCTGCTCTTCAGTTCTCTTTTTAAGTATCTGGTAGTTGTGGATTTGTTAGCACCTGCCACCACAGAGTGGGCCTTGGAGCCTTGCTCTACCCACTCCTGTTCTCTTTGGGAACTTGCAGCCCCTCTTCATTCACAACCCTCTTGCTTCCTACTCAGCCCTTACTCATGTATCTGTTCTCTCTTGGCTCTGCTCCAGAAACTGACTCCTGAAGACGGGGTAAGAACTTGGGGTGGGAGTGGTGTAGGAGGCTTAGTATCATTAGCACCCTTCAGGAGTTCCCAGTCTGATGAGAAACAGGACATCCCCCCTCCTCCACACACAGTTTCAAGGGAAACAGATTTGAGGTAGGAACTATTTAGGGGTGAAGGAAGAACAAAAGGAAGTCTGGGGAACCCTGAGCTTCTGGGTTTCTGACATCTCTAACATGCTCTCCTCCCTACCCTTCTATACCTACCTCCATAGCGAGATGAAGATGCTGAGAACCTTGGCAGCTTTGTCATGTTCCCTGCCAATGGCAACATCGACCTCATGTACTTCCCATACTATGGCAAAAAGTTCCATGTAAGTTCTATGGGAAGCTGGGATGGTGGATCCTTGAGGGGAACAGTTTTAGGGGAAGAGGCTGGAGTGCCACAAGTCTAGACCCTTACTTTCTCTCTTTGGCCCAGGTGAACTACACGCAGCCCTTGGTGGCTGTGAAGTTCCTGAATGTGACCCCTAATGTGGAGGTGAACGTGGAATGCCGCATCAATGCCGCCAACATTGCCACAGATGATGAGCGAGACAAGTTTGCTGGCCGTGTGGCCTTCAGACTCCGCATTAACAAAACCTGAGGCCCCTTCCTTCTGCCCCTACCTCTTTCCCGCGGATGCTTCTGGAATGCCCCTAACCCTGCCTGATTATCTCCCTCACCCACCCCAAAGGTATTTTTTATAACAGAGCTATGGCTTGTTTGAGCCTTACGCCTTTTCCTTTACTTCCTGATGCAGTCCCTTGTGATTCCCTGGCTACACATATTTTCCAGTCTTCTTCTCCAGACTCTAGCTCCATCAAGATGGCCACAGAGGAATTAGGAGCCTTTCTAATTCTGGTTTAGCTGTGCATAGGATGTTCTCACAGCTACTTATCTCTCCTGACCTCTTATTCCCAGAGAGCTGTGAAAATGCCTAACCTTTAACTTCCCAGAGATGAATGTGGTACCTGTTCTCCCTAAGCTTCAGCCTCTATTGCCTTCCTTTCTCTCCCCACCCCACACTTTCATCCACACCTACACAGTAGCTATCTTGGTGGCTTTTGACTAGTTCTTCTGGCAGGTCTTCACTTCCTCTCCCTCCCTATTCCCTTCTCTGAAAAGAAACCATTTCTAATTGAGGACAAGGTGGTTGTGTGGCCTTTTCTGTATTTCCTCACACATTCCACTTCTTCCACTTCTCACTCTGTGGTGACTGCATGAACTTGAAAAGGAGATTTCTTCCCCAGGGAGAGAATGGAAGAGAGAAAGCCATGTTGATTCTTAATCATTCTCTAATGGTTCCCCCAACTCCAATTCTACCCTGGTCCCTTCCAGCCTCCACTTAGGCACTATCCAAAGGGGTGGAGTTGATCTAGGCTGAATATTCACTTTGTTTCTACCAATGTCTCCCTTCCCCCTATTAGCTTTCCCAGAATATCCTTCAAGTTCTACTTCCCAGGGAACGCTGGGGGCAGGGCAGCCATTTTGGCTCTGTCCCCAGTGGCCACCTTGAAAACATCAGCTGGCTATGGGACTATTCCACCTCCTTCCCCTGGGCCTACATCAGCCCCCATGATCCTCTCTCTGGCTTCTGTTAGCAAGTTACCAACTAATCACTAACTCCCTCTCTTTCCTCTGCATGTCAGCCTGAAAGTTTCAAATACCCCACTCTATCCAGGCTCTGAATTTCTTGGCTCCAGCTCCTTCAAACCCCTCTGCCTTTTTTCAAAACCCCATGATGCCCATAGAATATTAAATGAGAGACCTCCTGCTCTAAGTATGCTTTAGTTATAGAGATGTTTTAACTCCTTCTCCTCCAGTTTCCCTTCACTTCCTTACCCTCACTTCCCTTCCTTTTCTTTCTAAATGCTGCAGCAGCCTCCCCACCTCATCCACAGGTGGGACCCCCCCCCCATTTCTCTCCTGCTGCCTCTGTGTCTCTTCCCTTTGGACCCCACTGTTCCCCCGCCCCCTCCAGGGGTCTCTCTCTGCAGTTATTTAATGCCTGTGTCAGATCTACTGTAAAAAGAAGATAAAGTACAATAAAATGAGAGCAATTATATATATATATAAATATATATCATACACAGAGCTCTGTGTGTGGGTTGTGACTTTCTAAACATTTGGAGGGGGGGAGGGGATGGAGGGTGGATAGGGTGATCCTGGGGGTTATTCAGGCCTTGGGGATTGCTTTTCACCTTTGGTTCCTCCCTTCCAGAGTTTAGGCATCTACCTCTTAGGTCACTCCTTTGATTATACTAATTTAATGCGCACAATCTTGAGATCAAAGTAGCTCTAAAAGTGCTGTGGGTTACATTTTGGGCTGCTAACTGCAAAGAGAATCAACCCACCAAGTAGGTCCTCCAGAGAAAGATAAGGCTGTCTGCGCCTATCAAGATTTACAGTGTCAGAAACCCTGTCTAGGGCGACTAGGAGTTGGAACCCACTCAATAGCTGTGGGTTTGCTTATTTTGGGTTCATCTTGAGATCAAGGAGGCCAGGTGGTGCAATAGTTATGCATTCTGCTAACTGAAAGGTCAGGAGTTCAAACCTACAAGCTGCTCTCTCAGCGAAAAGACCTGTTGATTTGCTTCTGTAAAAATTACAGCCTAAGAAACTCTATGGGGCAGTGATACTTGCTTCTCTGGTGTGGTGCAGTAGGACATAAGTATTGGAATGCTAACCGCAAGGACAGCAGTTCTAACCCACTAGCCGCTGCTCAGAAACCCTCTAAGGGTTGCTATGAGTTGGAACCAACACTAGGACACTTAACAACAGATTTGCTTTGGGACTGACTCAATGGTCTTACAACAATATAATGTGACCAGGAATCTCTGGGTGGGGCAAATGGTTAATTAGTTAAAATGTTGGGGGTTCAAGTGTACCCAGAGGTGACATGGAAGACAGTCCTGGCAATCTGCTTGCAAATGGTCACAGCTATTGAAAACCCTATGGCATGCAGTTCTACTCTGAAACACGTGGGGCTACCATGAGTCACAATTGACTTGAAGGTAGGTTTTTTTTGTTGTTGTTTCAATCTGGAGATCACTCAACATGAGTGAGGCAGACCTGCATCCACTTGTACATCAAAACTTATAAAATGTCTGTGTGCATTCTAGGCACCCTGAAGATACACTTATGAAAGAGGCAGAGTTCCTGCCCTCAAGAAGCTCCCAGTTTAACAGGAGACATGAGGAGCACACAATAAATTCTCATTTAAGGTAGTCTTTAACCTGCTTTAAATAATGGGGAAAGCTGTTGATGATGAAATTCAGCATAGTCAACGTTTTCTGTTGTGGGGTTTGAAGGAAAGGCTTCTTAGAAGGAGACAGTATTTAATCTGGTGTTTAAAGGATGGAGTGGTTTGGGGAGAGAAAATTAATAAAAGTTTAGAGAGATGAGAAAATTTGACTAGAAGAAACATAGCAGCATGAAACATATGATACTAATTCGATGTTTTTTAAAAAGTATACGCACATATATGCATAGAATAAAGGATGGATGGGTATATACTGCAATGTTTATTTGTTTACAGTCCTGGTGTGGTGCTATGGGCTGGATGGCAAGGTCGGTTTGAACCTCAAGGTGAGCTCATTCAAGCTCACCAGACACTCCACGGATGAGTTGGAACCGACTCCATGGCACACAACAACATAGGGGCAGAGGATGCGTTTATAGCTCATTTTAATTTTCTTGGGGGTTTTCTTTTTTGCAGTGAGTTGGTCTTAGTATTTAGTTTAAAATTTCTATTATATATTCATAAGGAGCTCTGGTAGCATAGTGGTTACCAATCGGGCTGCGAACCTTAAGGTCAGCGGTTCGAAACTACCAGCCGCTCCGCGGGAGAAAGATGAGGCTTTCTACTCCCGTAAAGATTTACACCCTCGGAAACCCTGTACAGGGTCGCTATGGGTCGGAACCGACTCGACGGCACATAACAACAACAACATTATATGTGCATACATATATGCCCAGTTTTACCATAAGTGCATAATGCATACACTCTACTCATATATATAAGAATTATCGTTATACTAAAATTTGGTATTGGGATTAGTCCCTGGAGAAAGATATCATGTTTGGTAAACTGGAGGGTCAGAGGAAAAGAGGAAGACCCCCAATGAGATGGATTGGCACAGTGGCAGCAGCAATGGGTTCAAACAGCAAAGATTGTGAGGTTGGCATAGGACCAGGCAGCATTTTGTTCTGTGGTGCATAGGTTCTCTCTAAGTTGGAACTGACTCAATGGCACTTAACAAAATTTGGTATTATACACTTAAAAAATGATTTCATTATTTTTTTTAGGTATTATACATTTTTATGCATCTTGTTTTTCTCAAAAGTTTCTTGTATGAGTACTTCACTGACAATATTAATTCATTTCTTTACAAGCTACATAATATTCCATTTTTCTAATAGGTTGTTATTCTCTTGTTAAAGTTGTTCTAGAAACTGTTTTTTACGTTGCTCTTTCCCCAAACTACTGTCTATTTCTTGGTTTGGGGGGCATCTTTTGCCATTACAAAGTCTTTTCTCCCCCCATAGTCAAACATGCTTAGTTGTGCTTTCTGGATTTCCTGTAAAGATGACAGCCTAGGAAACCCTACGGGATAGTTCTGCTGTCACATGGGGTCACCATGAATTGACTCTCTGGGACCCCACAAGAAGTCTTGATTAGGAAGGTGTTCCTAGTCATTAAGATATACTCCTGTTTCCTAGGTACTTGGATTCAACTTAATATTTTAATAGACTTTATCTGGTTTATTATTATTTCAAATTCACCAGCTGCTCCTCAGAAACCCTATTCATGGTTGTGATAAGTTGGAACTGACTCAAAGGCACTTAACAGTATAAACTGGGGAGTCCTGATGTGGCGCTGTAGGATATGCTCTCATCCATAAGGTTGGTGGTTCAAGCTCACCAGCCGCTCTACGTAGTGTCTAAAGTGTCACTATGAGTCAGAACTGACTTGACAGCATTTACTGAGGATATAAATTGGGGATACAATGTTTTCCCAGTTGTGTTAACTTCACTTATCTGAAAAATAAAATTCCTTAACTTAATCCTGTTGAAATTGAAATGCCAATTTTGGCAATATAGTAAATTCTCCTATATAGTAAAATCTATTTCTGAATTAATTCCTTTATTCTCCTGGTTAATCTACCATTCTACATACCAGAGTCCTGGTGTGGCACTGTGGGATAAAGCAAGGTTGGTTTGAACTACAAGGTTGTCAGTTCAAACTCACCAGCCACTCCTTGGAAACCCTATACTGGGTCGCTGAGTCATAACCCACTCAATGGCACTTAACAACACTCCACAAAGCAACCCATATTGATTTAATGCCTATAGTTTTATAGTGTTTTTGATCTCTATTAAGGCAAATTGTTAAGTGCCGTTGAGTCGGTTCTGACCCATAGTGTCCCTGTATAGGGTTTCCGAGGAGCAGCTGGTTAGCTTGAACCGCTGACCTTGAGATTCAAACTGAGTTTGCAGTCCAACGCATTAACCTACAACACCTAACCAGGACTCCATTAAAGCAAGTAGGACCTCCAATATTTTTCTAAACAATTACTGGTTATTTTTGAGCATTTATTCTTCTCTATACATTTTATTAAGGAGTTCTGGTAGCGTAGTGTTAGGGCTGCGAAGAGCAAGGTCGGCAGTTCAAAACTACCAGCTGTTCCACAGGAGAAAGATGAGGGTTTCTGCTCCCGTAAAGATTTACGGAAGCTTCGGAAACCCTGTACAGGGTCGCTATGAGTTGGAACCAACTCCACGGCACATAACAACAACAGCAATACATTTTATTGAAGTCCTGGTGCAGCGCTGTAGGATAAGCATTGGACTGCTAACTGCAAGGTTGGTGGTTCAAACCCACCAAGCCACTCCTTGGAAACCCTATACAAAACAAAAACACTAACACTTGCTAGGATTCTAATGTGATTTGCACTATACACACACACACACACATATATATATATATATATTTTTTTTTTTTTCAGAATTGACTTTTTAAGGATATAAAATTTTCCCATATGAAAACACAATCTTTCCTTTTGTTTGGATCATAATTTGTGTACTTAAATAAGGTTTTATAGTTTTCTTCACCAACACTATTCTCATTGAATTTATTCCTAGCTATTTTGTTGCTTTTGTCATTATTTCAAATGAAATAGTTTATTCACTTTTCTCAGTGCTTTTACTAGAAAATAAAATTTTGTATTTACCTACTATTTATCCATCTTACCAAATTATTTCAATTCTATAATACCTGTACTTTCAGTTGTAAAAAAAATTTTTTTAGGTGCCCTCCTGCATTAAAATTGTGATTGCAGATATCCTAAGTAGATCTTGATTTTAATAGAAATAATCTTAGTGTTTTACCATTTAGCATAACTCATTGGTATTCCATTACTGGTCTATTACTGTTTTAATTATTATATATTTAAGGAAGGGCTGCTGAAATTTAATCAAATTCCTTTCAACATCTATTGATATGATCATATAATTTTTCTTCTGTTAATGTAATTATGTTGATAGATTCACTATTAAACCAGCTTTGTGCTCCTGGAATAAACCCTACTTGGTCATAGTGTAAATTTATTTGTGCGTTGTACCTGATGTTTTATTTAGGCTTTGCATTTATATTTAGAAATGAGTATGTTGTTGAGTCGATTCCAACTCATAGCGACCCTGTTTAGGGTTTCTGAGTTGCTGGTGGGTTCAAACCGACCTTGTGATCCAGTGCTTACAGTACCACACCAGGACTGTCAGCCGTTTTAAAAAAAGAGGTCTAGTGGCATAGTGCTTAAGCACTCAGCTGTTAACTGAAAGGTCAACTGTTCTAGAAAGATAATGGCAGCCAGCTTTGGTAAAGATCGTCGTTAAGCATCAGCAAGTTGATTCTGACTCATAATGACCCTGCATAGGGTTTCCGAGGAGCAGCTGATGGGTTTGAACTGCTGATTTTTCAGTCCCATGTTTATCCTAGTGTCACACCTGGACAGCCTGGGAAACCCTATTGGACAGTTCTACTCTATCCTATAAGATCACCATTAATCCCAATTAACTATGACAACTTTAAAAAAAATAGTTTGAAAAATGAAACCAGCATATCAGGTTTTAGTCCCCACCGGTTTTAAACATAGCTCAGTGTTTTAACAAGCCCTTGCTTTTGGACTTATTCTTTCAACCAAGTGTTTTGTTATTGTTATTTAGTGCTGTTGAGTCAATTTCCATTCAAGAGCGACCCTGTATACTTTCCAAGGAGTGGCTGGCGCTTTAGAGCCGCTGACTTTGAGGTTCAAATTGACCCTGAGGCTGAGTGCTTATCTTATAACACCACACGTTGTTGTTAGGTGCCATCGAATCGGTACCGACCCATAGCAACTTTATGCACAGCAGAACGAAACACTGCCCGATCCTGGGCTAACCTCACCACTGTTGCCACGCTTGAGTCCATCGATGATGCCACTTGGCCAGTCCATCTCATTGGGGGTCTTCCTCTTTTTCTCTGACCCTCCACCTTACCAAACATGATATCCTTCTCCAGCAACTGCTCCCTTCTGACAATATGTCCGAAGTATGAGAGACGAAGTTTGGCCATCCTGGCCTCTAAAGAGCACTCTGGCTGCACTTCTTCCAACACGGATCCACCTTAGACCTCAATTATTTCAGTTTGTTATCTTTGTAAAAAATGCATCCTGGGTTCCTTTGCTTTCTCTCAAAATTTTAATACAAAAGCATGTAATTTTTAAAATATAAGCATTTTTCTCAAAGAATACAACGTTTACCAGAGTTGCATAGATTTTGAGATCATGGACTTGAAATCAGGAAGAAAAAATTGTTAAAGACAACAAAACAACCCACATATAAATTTAAGATTGTTGTTAAGTGCCGTCGAGTCGGTTCTGACCCATAGAGACCCTGTACAGAATTTCCGAGGCTGTAAATCTTTACAGGAGCAGAAAGCCTCATCTTTCTCCCGCAGAGCCGCTGGTGGTTTCAAACTGCTAACCTTAAGGTTTGCAGCCCGATTCGTAACCACTACGCTACCAGAGCTCCTTAGATTATGGACTATAAATCTGGATTGGAAGTTATGACCCTGGGAGAAATGATTCCAGATGTCATGGGGTAGGTAGGTCCTTGACTGTGAACAGAGGGGGGTCAATCTGGAATGGTGACTGGCAAAGAAGGGGGCAACAGAATCCGAATTAAATATACACTTTATACACAGGTTCCGACTCACAGTGACACTGTATAGGGTTTCCGAGGAGCAGCTGATGAGCTTGAACCTTGTAGTTCTAACCAACTTTGCAGTCCAGCACATTAATCCACAAGTGCCATGCCAGTACTTGTTTTGGAGTATAGTAGAAACTAGGGAACTCTTAAACAGTGCTGGACATTGGCCAAAAAGGGAACTCCAAGGTGACCCATCTACAAGAGCCTAGAGAGGGATTGAATTTTTTAAGAGCTCTGGTTTGCTAAGGTCCTAGTGGCCTAGGGGAAATGGCCAACTAAAAAAGTCCTTGAAGCAAGTAGTTCCAGGACTCTTCCCAACAAGAGAGAGAAAAAAGGTAGTTCTGAGGCCAGGGAGGTTGGTGGCTCCCCAGTCCTCTGTGATCCCTTCTGGCAAGGCAAGGAACTCTTAATGACACTTAATCCTGGCTGATTGGCTGAGAGGACAGTGGCCTCAGAATTCCCCCCTAGACTGTAGCATCTCTTCCTCCCTTCTGGGGGAGGAGGGACAAGCCTTGTCCCCACTGCCTGGCCATTCCTCCCAAGCACTGGCTCAGGCAGCTGTGGATGCTGGGGATAGCCTGCTCTTAGCCCCCCTCCCTGGGAGCTGGCGGCATTGAAGAAGAGGATAGGGTGGGGGTGTGCTTAGGTCCCCAACCCCAACTCTCCTCCCTACTCCAAGAAGCCCTTTGAAAGGTTTTTCTGGCAGTGTTTAAAGCTTCAATTCATTCAACCACCTGGCACAAGGCCCAGGATGAGGGTACTGGGAAGGCCCCAGCCCCACATCCCAGTCCTCACCTTAGTTGCCCCCCATTTCCCTGGAACCCTTGCTGGCAGGCCTCCCACTGGCCTCACTTCATCCAATAGCACCCAGCCTCCTTATTTCCCTTTGGGAACCCAGATTATCTTGACCCTCTCTATGAAACAGATGGCCACCTTAGAAACTCAAGCTTGCTAAATCAGACATTTAAATCCCATAATCCTTGGTGAGAGGGGGCAGCAACTCAACCCTAGCAGCAGGGACTGCGGAGAGCATCATGCCAGCTCTGGCAGGAGGGGACAGTTGGTTCCCGGAGTTATGAATGGTCACCCCCCCTCCCTTGTTATCATGCAGCCTGCAGACTGACCCAGTCTCCAGCCTTTGTTCCCCTCCCGGAACCTGGGCCTTGGGCCTCCAGCACATACTCCCTGGAGGTTCAGGGGCTGCCTCCCAAGCTCACCTCCTTATTCATTTTTGCACTTGTGGGCCAACACTGGTACCCATCTCTCAGACAAACAGATGAGAGTAGACTTTTATTGTAAAATAAGAATTGGATATAAAAAGGGGATATAAAAAGGGGAGAAGGGGTGGGTGCAGAGGAAAAATGCAGATGCGTCTTGCACAGTGCATAGGAAATTAGACCCTGAGTATCTAGGAGTGGTAAAACACATGGCGGTGGACACAGATCCCACTGAAGAGCTGGAATCCTCCAGGGAGTGGGATGGGGTGGGGTTTCCTTTTAGGTGCTGAGGTTTACCAAGAGGTTACAGCGGGCTTGGCTAGGCCAGCTGAAAAAGGACTTGGAAAGGCCCTTCCGTTAACCAGATGCCAAATCAACCAGCATGGACAGGGGACCAGCACCCCCAAGAGGCCAAGTCCCAGATGCCATGTAATCAGAGGGTTTTAAGGTCAGACAGGCTGGTGAGCTTCCTAGCTCTTTTGGATCTTTGGGTCATACATACATAATTTCATTAACCTCACAGGCTTGTGAGGTAGGTATTAGCACTTTAGAGAGATGCCCGTGGCTGCCAGGAGAAACTGAACACTTTGGGATGGCTTCCCTGGCTAGTCTGCTGGTGATGTGGGCGTCTCATAAAGGCATGGCTGATTCAACGGCTAATTTAAAAAATCTCTTATATGCATTTCCTATTTCTCCCAAGCTAATGAGGTGTTCTCAGGTGTTGTGTAGGCACACCTATACCAAGCAGGGGTTGAAGCTCTTGAGTTTTACAATGCTAGGAGAGGAGGGGAAGGATGGGGTATGTAAATTGGGGACAGGAAGTAGAGACTGTCAGTCTGAGTCAGGTCCCTCACTCTTGAAAAGAGTTTTCTTATGGCGGGAGGTAGACTGACCCTTCTTAGACTTCATGGGGCTGTAGAGGAGACAAAAAGGGAGGAGAGTTATGACGTATCATTGAGCAAGCAAGAGGAATCTAAGCAAGCCAGGTTTATTGAGTACCTTAGGGTACTTGTGCATATTAATCTCTTAATCTTCACTTAGCCCATTTCATTTTACAAATGAGGAAACTGAGCCTGAAAGTAGTAGTAACACGCATGGTCTCCTTACTTTCACACATTTATTAGTTCCCAGCTGATCTAGGGGCTAATGGGAATGGCAGTCTCGCCAGTCACCATCCTCGGGCTAGAGGCATTTGTGAACCCCTTAAGGCAGGGAGGTGTTTATACAATACAAGTGGAGGAAAACGAAAAGGATGTGCCAGTAGGATATGGACCCAGTGGCTGAGACTAGCTGCCTTTAACCATAAAGGTAGGATTCAAAATGGAATCCCCTACCTTTCGAACATAAGAAGGTAGGACCATGGCTAAGAGGGGGCCAGGTCACTCACCTAGAGTTAGCCCTGCTTTCCTCTGGCTCCTTCCCAGCCTGGGCATCCTTTAGCTCCAAGGCCTCATTCAGCTCTAAGAACATCTTGAAGCGTTCTCGCCCACGGATCTGCAGGGGTGAGGGAGCGGGGGATAAGAAAGTATTGGCTGTGGGATAAAGAACTTGATTTGGCCTTCAATCTCTGGTTTCTGAAAATAGCCCTTGGAATTCCTCAGCAGTCAAGGTGCCTTTTGTTTTCTAAAATAACATGTGCAAATAATTGGGAGCCCCCAACCCTACCCGGGCAACAGACCTCAGAAAAGAAGGGGGCATGACAGTCAATCATGCATATTCATAAATCATGCATATGCATAAGGCCCCAATGATGAAGGGACCCTGAACCTGGGAGTTTCCGGTATTGGGAAGAACTTCCATGCACAGGAAAGCGTGGACAATCCGGGGACAATGGAAGTCTCGTGCAGTGAACTCTCCCAGATCTTCCCTTTATTTTCTAGTTATAATAAATGGGTAATTGTAAGTATAGGTGATATAGTCTCCTGAATTGTGTGAGCTGTACAGAGAACTAATCCACCGTGAGGGACAATGGGACTCTTGACTTAGCTCCAGAATCTCATAGTGCCCTATAGAGTTTCCAAGCCTGTTATCTCAGCGGAAGACCGCAATATCTTTCTCCTGTGGGACAGCTGGTGAGTTTGAACTGCCCACCTTTTGGGTAACAGCCGAATACTTAACCATTATGCCACCATAGTTGCTTGACTTAGTTCAGAGTTAACCTAATTCAGAGAAAGGCTGTGAGGATAGTTAATGAAGAACGGAGTCCTTCTAGCTTGTCAGGAGAGACTACACAGAGAAAGAGGGTGCTGTAAATCTGAAGTGCAAAGTTGTGCTGACTCCTGAGCCTATGGGTACATGATGACACGACTCTGTGGCTGAAGATGAAGTCTGACTTAACTCAGGGTGGTTAGGGTCAGAGATAGGAAGTGGCTGACAACAAAGATAGATGGGGGTGTGGGTGGGGGTGGTGTTTGCCCACCATATCCCTTTAGTAGTGTAGTTAGCTGAGCACTGGAAGTCATAGAATCATTAATGCTCTTTGAAACAATTTGCTTTTTGAAAGGTGGTTCTCCAGAATGTACTATGGTACAAACTGGTGTTCTGAAGTTATGACCAGAAGTCATGGTCTCTGAGCCACCACTGCCCTCTGATGGCAAGTTCCTTAATTGCAAGCAAAGCAGTCAAGAAGAAAATAGCATTCAAAGTAACCAGACTTTAAGCTTGAAGTTTGATAATACAAGGGCAAGTCAAAAGGTATTGCTATAAAATCATACACACTTTTATTAAACAGAATTTCAGAATATGAAGCTATTGTTTCTTGACATATCCACCATCTAGGTCTATACACTTCTGAAGGCAAGTATTTTGAGAATTCTGCACTCTTCAATTTATCCGCAAAAATCCAGCAGTTTTGGCATTCTTGAGGGACACAAATCATGTTTTTTTGAAATGTTCTTTGAGTCTTGGGAACAAAAATCAATCAGAAGGGGCAACATCAAGGTTGTACGGTGGATGGGGCACAGTTTCCCAAAGAAATTCTCATGGAATAGCCTTTGCTACCTTTCAAGAATGAGCAGGTGCACTATTGTAATGGAAAAAAATTCCTCAGTGGAACTTGTTTCACCAAAACAATTTTCAATTTTCTTAAAACTTCTTCATGAGAATCCCCCATGATTGTCATGTGTCATTTGAAAAAGCCTATCAAGGTGACCCCTTTGGTATCCTCAAAAGTGTCATTATAGCCTCCTGAGCTGACCTTTCACCCTTGAATTGAACTGGGTCAGCACATCTGCTTGAAGGTCATTGTTTTCATTGGACCTTTTTTTGAAGGTACTCTAATGAGACTAAGACAAGTATATTACTGAGAAAACTTGTCAGCAACCACCCACTGATTACAGAGACATGTTTAGTTTAGAATGAATTGTGCATGTATGAACTGGAACCCAAATAGAATACTTTTGGACTTGCCCTCCTATTAAATTTTTTTAAGTGTTTATTGTGAATTGAGTGATAGTTTTACATGGGAGAACATCACTTTCACACTTATCATTTCATTGCCATGATTACAATCCCCTCTGCGCATCATCATTCAACAGTACTTGCTTCTATTCCCTCGTTTTTTTTTTGTCTTGTTTTGGGGAGATGTACACAAAAACACTCAGGAATATATAATAATTTAAACAACCAAAGGGCACATTATGCAAGCCTGCCTCCTGGCCTCCAGCAATCAGTCTTTCCTCCTATTAATTTTTAAAGAGGCAGAGCCATGAACAGAGGAAAGGGAAGGCAGAGAATTGGGTCTGAGAAAGAACATTAAGAGTCAAATCTTTATACAGTTCCTATATTTACACCTTTTTCTTTGCTTATCCAATCCTAATGATTCGGGACAAGAGACTGAGTGTCCATCTCCCTCAAACTTCAGGGTACCTGAAGGGTGAAATATTCTTCATCCAGCATCTTCTTCTTTGTTTGTGTGAAAAAGCTGGTACTGGTGGGCCGTGCTGTAGAAAGGTAAGGAGAGGTGACAAGGAGACTGAGTGAATTCCGGGCAGAACTGCACCCTCTCTGCCTCTTTCACCCACTCTTGTTCTACCTGCTTACTTCGCTTAGTGCTCCCAGGGGGTGACTTGGGGCCAGGCTCCACATTCTTGTGGAAATTGTCTTCCTCTGTGCGTCTGTCTCTTCCAGGACAGGCACAAACACGAACCTCAAAGCTGCTGCGTCCCAGCAGATTACCACTATCCAGGGCAAGAAGAGGGAAGTAGGAGGAAGTAAGGAAGTCAGAGTTTACCTGCTCTGTTCATCTGCAAACCAGACCCTACCTGCTCCTAACTCCCCTCCATCCTATCTGAAGCCTATTGAGAAGCTACAGACAAGACAGGTCCCAAAGCCAGAGAAAAGAAAACTGGGAGGGATCAGTAGCAGAGACTCCTCATGTGGGATGGGAGGTAGAGGGAAAAATGGGTGGTAGTTTGGGAGAAAATGGTGAGAAGAGGGCTCAGGATACAACAGGCAGGCAGGCAGGCAGAAGCCTGGGAGGAGTGTGCCAGTGTGAAGGGAGGCATGGGAATGGGTCCCTACCTGGAGTCTTCCAGTGTGACAATGGTGAGGATGGGCCGCCGGTTCATGCCCCCCATGCAGGAGCTGTTACACATGTAGTTATAGTGGATGGTGGTACACTCGGAGCCAACCTGAGAGATACACAGGCCCAAGGTGAGGCTACCTAGCTCTGGGGAGATCTGTAGCAACCAGTGGAGGCCTGTAGCTTCTGTTAGCCTCACTTTCCTCAACTATGGAATGGGAATAAGTCACCTTCCCTGCATACCTCTTAAGGTGGTGGGGAGGTCACATAAGAAGCAAGAGAAAACCCCTCTCCCCAGTGGTCACTGACACACTCCCAGCTTCCTCTTCCCAGAACCCTGTTGCCAAACCAGACCTCGGGCGGCTCATAGGGCACCACCACACTATGGCGCAAAGTGGTGCTGTCCTCCAGATACTCAGCACGCAGGTTTCCTTCCACCCGGATGAGGTGTTGAGGAGGGGCCAGGCCTAGGAGAAATTAGGGAAGAATTAGGGGCTTAGAGACCCTGGGCAACTGGCCCTGTCCCATCTCCAGCCCCCCATGCCTCACCATCACTGTAATCAGAGCTACGCTCATGGTGAGGGCAGCGCTTCACGACCTCCGTCATATGCTCTGATTTCTTGTAGATGGCCATGGTGCGAACACGGGTGCCGGTTGGGGGTGGTGAGGTGACCCAGAGCTGCACGGGGCATGTCTTAGCCAGCTGGCAAAACAGCTTGTTAAGGTCAGGGGAATACTGTAGAAAAAGGAAGGAGTTGAAGGTCAGGGGTCAAATGAATAAGCACTTAGTCAGCACCTACTGAAAACCATTGGGAGGGTAGCTACAGGGATGACAAGGTTGAGGTTTAAACCATAGCAGCTTATATTCAAAAGTCAGGGAATGAATGCGAGGGAACCAAAAGGAGGTAGTGAGTGTTCCATGTCCCAGTGAGATCCAGCATCAGATACAGAATATGAGGAAAAGGAGGTTAGGGGTTGAGAGAAGTCAAGGGTCATAGACTAATGGGTGAAATTTAGAAAGACTGACAGGAAGCCAATGGCTAGAAAAGAATCCTAAAGTTCTATATAGCAAAGCCCAGGGGAAAAATAGTCAGGCATCAAAAGGTCACATAGAAGACAGCCCCTTAGGACCACTGACCGTGCAGGTGACAGACTTGGCTGTCCCAGAATGCAGGAAGCCCAGACTGAAACCATAGGTGCCGGGGTAGCTCTTCTGAGAAGGAACAGAGGATGACAGGGTCCAGGAGGTGGCTGGTGTCGGGGCTGCCGAGATTCCTTGGCATTCTAACCAGTTTGTCAAGGCTTCTGGGAGTAGCAGATTGTCTACTACCTCCCTTGCTGGGGGTTGCGAGAGGGAGTTTGTCGAGGCTTCTGGGAGTAGCAGATTGTCCACTACCTCCCTTGCTGGGGGTTGCGAGAGGGAGTTTGTCGAGGCTTCTGGGAGTAGCAGATTGTCCACTACCTCCCCTGCTGGGGGTTGCGAGAGGGACTGCGGTTGGGAGAAACAAGAGTTAGAGAGAGTATCCAGGCTACCAGCCATGCAGCCCCTAGTTCCTTCCCACTGGGCTCCTTACCAGAACTTTGTCCTTAGGAAGGCTGAAAAACAAAAGCAGAAAGTCAGCACTGATTTCTGACTATTATATGACTTCCACATGCCTCTGTTAGAAAGCTAGGGTCGGGGTAAGTGGACGACAGCAATTGGAGGCTAGGCAGTGAACCTGGCCCTCCCACCAGGCCTTCACACTTACAGTTCCCATAAGTATGAAAATGTCTCTTGACTCAGGGGGAGGTCAGTGCCAAGATCTGACTGAGGGTCCTCCATCTTAGCTCCCAGGAAAGCAATCTGGCCACTATGGAGGGAAAAAGACGGTCTAACATTAGACACAACCAACTTCAGCTCCCCTAGCTGGGAGGGACCCCTCCCCGTCAATACCACCCAGGGTTTGAGATACAGTGGATCCCCCACCCAAATTCTTGGGGTGCAGGACTGCTCTTTCACAACCCTTCTCCTCAAATCTTTCACAACCCGGTCTGCTCCTGCCACCCCGACCCCCAGCTGATGACCCTACCACAGCCTTCTTTGAGGAAAATCCAGAAGGACTTCCAATCTCCTTACCACTAACTCTATGCTTTCCACAACAGACACTGTACTTCCACCCTCCTTTCTGTTCATAGAGATGAAGAGGCCCCAGTCCATGGTATGGTATAAATGGATGGTATAAATGGTTAATGAGTTCAGCTGTTTAAACAGGTTAGAAGATTGAGTGGTGCCTCGGAAGAAGGGTCTGGTGATCTACTTCTGAAGAAATCAGCCACTGGATACTTTACAAAACACAGTTGTACTTTGAACACATGGGATCACCATGAATTGGAATCTACTTGATGGCAACCGGTGGAGGTGGCATGTTGGTCTAAGGTTTTCTCTATTATGTACTTACAGAATTTGGAAAATCCCTTCATAATAATTTTCTCACTTGTTCTAATACCCATACTTGCTATTTTACAGGTGAAAGAGCCGAGTCTTAGAGGTTAAGAGACTTGAAGATACACATAGGAGGTAAGTGAATAGGTTTAATAAAAAAAATAACCCTTCAAATATCTATGAGTAAGATGTTTACTTCTTCACAATCTACTCAGTGGGATTCTCTCTTTCAATTAAGGACTGAAGGGTGGATCTTAACTGATAAGTCTTCCAACTGAAAAGTTGTTAGCAAAGGGTCAGGTATCATAGCCTTGTAACCAAAGCTGGAGTCCTGGTGTGGCACTGTAGGATAAGCAATCAACCACAAAGTCGGCGGTTCAAACTCATCAGCTGTTCCTCGAAACCTGATACAGGGTTGGTATAGGCTGGAACTGACTTGCCGGCACTTAACAAGAAACAAAAACTGAGGATAAGAAGAGGGCATGGACCACCGTCATGCATGGAGGGAAGCAGGAGGGGCAATGAGAGGAACAATCTCTTAACATTTGTCTTGGGAAGAAAAGCCAGGATCCCTTTAAATCAATGACCAAAAAAGAGACTTTCATGGGAAGGAGCTCATGTAAATGTAAAGGGAGGGACTCAGGAGGCAAAAGCCCTTTTTGTCATTGTACTGTTACTTAAACTTGCTGTATGACCTTGGATAATACACTTCATTTCTCTGGGCCTTAGTTTTCCTCATATGTAAGTCTGGATTAATCACAATACCTATATTAGAGGTATTGTGACCCAAGCCATGGTATTTTCAATAACCTCATATGCATATGAAAGATGGACAGCGAATAAGGAAGATCGTAGAAGAATTGATGCATTTGAGTTCAGGGTGTTGGAGGAGAATATTAAAAGTACTATGGATTGCCAAAAGAACAAACCAATCTGTATTGGAAGAAGTATAGCCACAACGCTCCTTAGAAGATAGGATGGCCAGGCTTCATCTCTCATACTACAGACACAGTATCAGGAGGAACCAGTCCCTGGCAAAGGACATCATGTTTGGTAAAGTGGAGGGTCAGCAAAAAAGAGGAAGAGCCCCGAACGAGATGGACTGGCACAGTGGCAGCCACGATGGGCTCAACTGTAGCAATGATTGTGAGGTTGGTACAAGGCAGTGTTTCCTTCTGTTGTGCATAGGGTCGCTGTGAGTTAGTACCAACTCCATGGCACCTAACAATATATTAGAGGAATAACTTTTTGACTTTCTCCTTCACAGAGCTTGAATTTTACTTATCAAAATTTAGTGGAAGGCACCCAGGGTCTGGGAAACGTGCAGCCCATGGGTGCTTTAGAAGTCACCTAATCTCTTTGTACATTAGTATGCTTTGTTCTAAAATGAGAATTACAATACCTACTTCATTTAGTTATTATGAGCAATATAAAGAACTGAGAAAAGTGCCTGGCACATAGTAAGAACTCAATAAGTTTTCTAGCACCCCTTGTTGCCAAATGCATCGATTCCAACTTATAATGCTTCCACATGTGTCAGAGTAGAACTGTGCTCCATACGTTTTTCAATGGCTGATTTTTCAGAACCAGATTGTCAGGCTTTTCTTCTAACTTTTCGGTTTTCAGTGGAGCATGTTAACTGTTTGGACCACATCCAGAGACTCCTTCATAACTGTTAGCTGTTTACATGATGATCATTATTCTTTATCTAAAATGAGAACTTTCTGAGTGTGGGATAGTAGAACTTTTGTGGTACTGCCCCCACCCTATAGGTGCAAATCCACCTCCTATAGGGAACTAATTTTTCAGTAAATATACCAGGAGTGGCCATTCTAGGATGAGGGGCCCAAAGTTTCAGTTCCACATATGTTGTTGGTGGTGTTGGTTATGTGCCATCAACTCGGCTCATAATGATCCTATATGGGGTCTCCGAGGCTGTAAATCTTTGTTGTTGTGAAGTGCCGTTGCGTTGGTTCCGACTCATAGTGACCCTGTATAGGGTTTCTGAGGAGCGGCTGGTGAGCTTGAACTGCCGACCTTGCAGTTCAAATGGCTTTGCAGTCTGGCGCATTAATCCACTGCACCACACCAGGACTCCAGAAAGTCTCCTGTTTCTCCTGTGGAGTAACTGGTAGATTTGAACTGCTGTCCTTGAGGTTAGCAAACCAGCTTGTGATCCACTAGCCTACCAGGCGCCATCAAATCAAGTTCAACTCATAGAGACTCTGTATATGGTTTCGGAGGCTGTAAATCTTTGTTGTTAAGTGCCGTTGAGTTGGTTCCGACACATAGAGACCCTGAACAGGGTTTCTGAGGCTCTAAATCTTTACAGGAGCAGAAAGCCTCATCTTTCTCCCATGGAACGGTTGGTAGTTCAGAACTGCTGACCTTGGGTTCGCAGCCCAATTCGTAACCACTACGCTACCAGAGCTCCTTGTAAATCTTTATGGGAGCACAAAGCCTCATCTTTTTCTCGAGGATTTGCTGACCTCATGGTTAGCAGTCCAGTGCTTATCCTACAATCCCCCATAAGCATAGATGGACTCTGTCACTTTAGTCCTCAGTAGCAACTAAAATTTCAACTTTTCTTTCTCTAAAGAGAAAACCATCCCTAGCAAACTGTTTTAAAGCAGGTAATTTCCACAGGCACTAGCCATTTGCCATGATACAAAATTGTCAGAAGGGTTGGGGAAACGGGATGCTTACATGGGGGAGGAAATCAATACTGCTGACAGTTCAGGGAAGGATGGGCTCCACCCAGTCACAACAATGGCAGTTTATAGGCATGCTCCAGGGCCCACTGCTTTCAATAGCTTATCTCACTTAATCCTCTCAGAAAGCCAGTAAAGTATTATGACCAGATGAGGGGACTGAGGCTCGTTAAAGGAATTAAGTCATTTTCCCAGATTCATAAAGCTTCCTAGGGGCCAGCCAGGGCTTTGAACCTGGGCTGTCTGAAGCACATCTGAGATCTAATAATTATGCTTCTAAGGAGTCCTTTTGGATTCCTGGTATGGCACTGTAGGATCAGTACTAGACTGCGAACCACAAGACCCCCAGTTCACACCCACCAGTCGTTCCTCAGAAACCCTATACAGGGTCACTATGAACTGGAACAGAGTCGACGGTACTAAACAACAACGTAATCCTTCAGACTTTTGGTATGGTGCTGTAAGATCAGCACTGGACTTCGAATCACAAGGTCAGTAGTTCAAACCCACCAGCTGCTCCTTGGAAACCCTATACAGAGTCCCTATGAGACAGAATCAGCACTTAACAACAACAATGAGGCAACTTCTATTAATTGAGAGAAAGATGAAAAAAGGTCTCTTAGTCTGCTAAAGGAACAATTTAAAAAAAGAACAAAAAAATCTGAAGAAAGCCTAAGATTTATATGGCACTATGGATTAATGTAAGGAGCTCTGGTAGCGTAGTGGTTACGAATCGGGCTGCGAACCTTAAGGTCAGCGGTTCGAAACTACCAGCTGCTCCGCGGGAGAAAGATGAGGCTTTCTACTCCCGTAAGGATTTACACCCTCAAAAACACATACAGGGTTGCTATGGCTTGGAACCAACTCAAAGACACTTCACAACAACAACATCAAGATGAACAACTTATGTTTGGTAGGAATTTCAGAACAGGAAGGGACAAAAAAGCCCAAACAAGATAATATTGTCCAAAACTTGTTGGAAGAAAGTTTCCCTAACATCATGAAAGACAAGATAGCCATTCAAGAAGTTGAAAAAATTCCAAACAGGACAGACCCCAAAAGAAAAACACCAAGAAATAATCAAACTTTTAAAATTCAAAGACAAGGAAAGAATCCTAAAAGCAGCTCAGGAAAAATGAAAAGTTCCCTACAAAGAACTAATAGGACTAAAACTAAGCTCTGATTTCTCGGCAGAAACCATACAGACAAAAAGACAACAGAATGACATATATAAAACTCTGAAAGGAAAAAATTTGCCAACTAAGAATTATAGGAGCCCTGGCGTGGCACTGTGGGTTAATGCGCTGGACTGCAAGGTCGATTTGAACCTCAAGGTTGGAGATTCAAGCTCACCAGCAGTTCACTCCTCAGAAACCCCATACAGGATTGCTGTGAGTTGGAACCGACTTAACGGCACCTAACAACAACAAGAATAATCATATATTCAACAAAACTATTAGTGAAACATGATGGCAAAAGCAGGTTATTTTCAGACAAACAGAAATCAAAAGAATTTGCAAATACCCTAACACCATCCTTACAAAAATACTAAAATTTTAGTTCTTTGGACACAGAACCAACAAAAGTTGGACTTTATACTAACATACATGACAATATCACCTAGACTCAACCCAGATATAGAAGTATGCAAACAAGGTTGGTTTGAACTGCAAGACAGGCAGTTCAAAT